AGGTTTTCTGCTTTTCAAACTTCAAAGTTTAAATTTATCAAACGCTACCTTAGCCGCTTATGCTTTTATGTGATGTTCAACCCTTGATTGTGTTCAAAATCAATGAGAAATTATATGATTATCCATGTACCACTTTTATGCTTTTAAAGCAAAAAATAGAATTGACTTGGTAGTCATAGAGCTATCTCAACCCGGTTTAAACCAAGCTTGAGCCTGATATATTGGATTGTTTTCTAATTGAGTCGAGCTCAAACCTAGTGAAGCTCGGCTCGTGAGGCTTGCAAGCCTAATTGAGCCTAGTATAATAAATAAATTATTTTTATTATATACACCCACATACATACAAATATTTATATATAATATTTTTATTTTTAATGTATAATATTAAATAATTTTAATAATTATTTTTTTATGTGTAATAATAAATAATATTTATACTTGTATGTAAAATAAAAAAAATATTTTTATATGTATAGTTTTTATTTTTTTAAGAAAAAACTTGGCTTGTAATCGAGCTCGAGCTCGAACTTGCAAGCTTTGAACCGAGCCGAGCTCAAGCTCAAGTCTCTAGTTCGAATCGAGTTCGAGCCTAACACTATATCTACGAGTTAAGCTCGAATAGCCAAGTATTCAGTTTAGCTTGGCTCGAATCATCCCCTAGTTACAACCACTTTTATAACCTTTGTTGCAGTCATGACCACCTCCATAGATTGTATCATTTTGTTGTGTTTCGCATACCCACACCTTTGGATATAGATATGATACTCCTAGGCATATCTTGTCAATATTTTAAACCTTGAATTTATGGCTTGAAAGATAACCATTATTTTAAACCTTGGAGTCTGACAAGGGGAAAGAGAATGGAGAAAAATTGCTATATTTCGTGGAATATGTAGAAACATTGAAATGTTGTGTCTTCAATCAATCTTAAGCAAACTCGACTAGGAACTATTGATAGAGCGAACTTGGAATTTGTCGAGTATCATGGGAGCTAATCAGAAAACCTGTGAAGAGTAATGATAAGGCTAAAATTGACCACTAGTTAGAAACTGCCAAGTGGTAGCATGTTGGAGGGCAAAGTTGTTAATTAATGAGTTGACCTGGTCCTAACGAGCTATGAGCTAACCTGTTTTGGTTAGTTAACTCGGTCCTGATGAGCTACAAGTTGACCTTGCCATAATGAGCTGATTTGACACCAACTCATAACATGCACAAGCAACATGTGGCCGAGGTGACCAGAACATCAATGCTAGCACACTCTTTGCAGGCCCACTACCTACCACATGCACACAACGTGCTAATTGAGGGCACGACAAGTGGACTAAGCTCTAATCATGTGTGAGAGACGTGCTAATTCTTGGATGAAGCCCCTCTCTTATAAATAGGTGAGTCCCCCATTCATTTGGACACAATTGAACATGGTAGTACACTACTGTAAACAAGGCACGCCTGACACCTTGGCACATGGGGCCCTCCAGCTCCCCCTATGAGCTCTTCAACTCATCTCATGGAGCTCTCTAGGTCTCCTTACGAGCTCACTAGCTCTCCTCACAAGCTCTTTAGCTCTCCACACGATCTCTCACCTCATCTCACTAAGCTCTCCAGCTCACTTTATTTTCCCTTGGCGTTGCTGACTTAATTGTTAGAGTTCATGCCCTTGGGATATCACCCGGGGTCTTTGACATTTCTTGTGGTTGCAGGTCTCTCTGAGCAGCCAAGGTGACACCCTATTCCAACAACTTTCCATCCTTGCCCCTGTGGCCAATTTTGATCTTCATCAAGTAATAATCTAAAAAATAACCAAATTCATTAGGTCAAAGCTGTTTAAATAAATTTTGATGTTTTTGTTAAACAAGATAGAGAAGCCACGATTGCATGGGTTGTAAGAGATTTTAGAGGAAATATCATTACTTAAAACTTATTAAAAAAACTCTCAACACAATCTCGATGACAAAAGCATGGGGAGACAAGAAGCCATCAAAATTGTGATTTAACTTGGGCTACAATTACATCATTGTTGAAGGGGAATCCCAACTCACAATTGATTGCCTCAACAACAAGTGAAAGCCCCCCATGAAACATCTAGGTGCTGATCAAGCAAGGTAGGAAAAGTAGAGCTCAGCTACCCACAAACTCTTCCCACATTTTCTACCCACATAACATTACAACCATGCATTGGGAACATTTCCCTTGCCATTCATGGGGATATGTTCCCAATAAATGGTGGTTGTGTCTTGTGGGTAGGGATGTGATAAAGGTTTGTGAGTAGATCTAGAGTGGGAAGAGTTTCTAGGCCCAACATGTCTTTAGGGAAGTGAATCAACTTGTATATTTCATTGCGAGTGTTGAGCATGATGTTCATGTGGACAATGTTTGAGGAAATATCATATTATCATGCAATTGGATTTGATAGAAATAATCAGAATTGAGGATCTTTGGGACTGCATTATCCTAGGCATTGCTAGTACTTTTGCTTGTACGCCCCCCCCCCCCCCAAAAAAAAAAAAAAAAGAATATCATGATGGTAAAATGAGTCCATACATTTTGTGCAAAAGCTTTTCATTGGCAAAACAACGACCACACCTCAAATAGGAAATGAACACTAAGTGGATGCTTGGCATCGATATCATTTTCTGGGAAAATGGTGCCATGTATGCGCTACATCAGCAAAAGCGGTGCTTTAGAAAATGACATCTTATTTGGTACCATTTTTCCATAAAAAGCATTGCCTTAGACCATGTATTGGAAATCAGGAAAGTGTGGTCTGAAGCAACACCAAATTTGATGTTTTCTCATAAAACAACATGTTGCTGCCAATGGTACTATGATGTGGCATCAACGTGGCCTCATCTTGGACGTTGGATAATATGACTAGTGCTGAAAACAGTTCTATAGCACTGGTACCAAACAAAAGCCAGTGTTGTTCTCCGAGAAAACAGTCTATGTGGCAGTACCGCTTCCAAACAAAAAATACGCACCGTTTTTTCACCCATGACTAATACCATTTTTATGAGAAAACGAGGCTGTATTCCCAGCACCGATGCCAAACACCAACTAAGGCTTTCCCTACATTTCTGTCATTTCCCTACTTTTTCCTTTAAGCCCAACACAACCTAAGGAAAAAAGAGGGTGATCATGAATTGGGCTGAACTTAGCATGAGTGGAACCAAGATTTTTTAGATGGTTCAAATTTTAATAAACATAGATGGGGCCAAAATATAAGTGGGATACGGGATTGTGGGGGTTGGGGTTGGCTCCCCCTCTACCACTTCTGAGTCTCTGACCCCACTCCTAGGGCTTAATACCTATATGGGCTATAGCATGGGTTAGCCGGTCTTGGGCCTTATAATTGCATTGTGTTAAGTGTATATATAGATTGTATGGCATGCTTTTATGGGTTCGTGTAGTATAAAACTGTTACATGACACATCAGCATATACTTTAGGCATAGGCTGAGCATAAAATATAGGCTGAAGCCCAAACGTTTGAGAGTTGGGCCAGGTCAGGCTATAAATGATCACCCCGGATAACACATCTTAAAACAAGATGACAACACAAAAAAAGCAGCGATGTCATAAAATCACCTATTTGTATTTCAACTGTCCATCCTAACCCTGCTTGGAAGTACCATACTAGCTAGGGCTGTAACAAGCTAGGGTTTAGATGGAATTCAACTAGACTTGAAAAAAAACAAAAAGGAATTCTCAGTTGCATCTGCATCTGCATCTAATCTGATTCTCAATTATCTGTATCTAATCTGCAGTTTAATACATTAGATTCGGATTAGATTTGGATTTAATATGCACTTGTCGTGTTTGTAATGACAAAAGAACAAAAAAAGAAAATAAAAACTATTTAAAAAGTTAATTATTCTCACTTATAAATGTAAATATAAAATGGTAACAATAACAATAATAATAATAATAATAATAATAATAATAATAATAATAATAATAATAATAATAATAATAATAATAATAATAATAATAATAATAATAATAAGATATGGATTTTAATTGTATATGATGGGATAGAATCTCTGTAGATTTTATTAATTGGATGCAAGTTCTAAAATTTATAAACTTGGCTAATCCATTGATATTTTTGGGGCAGAATCTTTTTATGTCTCAACCGACGAAAATATAAATTGTCAAATTTGTAAATAGCCAACAATTCGTGCGGAAAGACACACCAAACGAGACCTAAATCGACAATTAGACTTTCCGAGTCCATTGACAGCGCTTGAGCTACCACCTGTTCATGGGCCGGGCCGGGCTGGGCTCGGGTTGGGCTTTTAGTGTTCATTAATAGAAAAATAATAGGCCCGAGCCCGAGCCCGGCCCGACCAACGGGCCTAGAACTTGGGCCTGAGCCCGGCCCTGATAAAAAGCCCGAAGCCCGACCTAATAAAAGAAAATCAAAATTTTCCCTATTCAAATAGACATTATCTATTTTAATTCAGATTTTTTTCCCCTATTTAAATGAACAATGGGCCTACAAGTGAATCAACAACCTTCTCAAATCAAAAAAAAATTATTCAAATGGACATCACATAAGGTTTTTACTTAGATTTAACTATAGGTTGGGCTGGGTTTACTTAGGTTTAATTATAGGTCAGGCCGGGCCGGGCTCGGGCCAGGCTATTTTGGCAAAGCCCGAGCCCGACTCGAATTTTATGCGGGCCGGGCTTTTTGGCCCGAGGTTAAGCCCGCGGGCCAAAAAGCCTGTTCAAGCCCGTCTGAGGGTCGGGCCGGGCCGGCCCGTCGGGCCACCCGGCCCATGAACAGGTCTAGCTACCACATGTCGCGAGGCTGGGCCGATTGGGCCTTTTAGTTATCGCAACATGGGCGTACTCATGGGCTCATCGTGTAGCCATCCAGGCGTCCACCCCCGCTTCAACGAGGAATAAATCCAACCCGTTTATAAGCAATTACGACCCGTTTATGAATCTAGAAAACAACCCGTTTTTAGTTTTTTCATCTGTATTTATTTTTCTTCGGGAGAAAGAAACAGAGAATATCGAAAGGCTAAAACCAGGGTAGACAAAGAAACCCTCATTCGTCTTCTCTCCCGACTCTCCTGATCCAAGCCATGGGTATTAAGCAGCAAGCCAACTGGTCTCCGTACGACAACAATGGAGGGTAAGCTGCTTTCCTTTTGATTTCGTTTGTGACTTTTTCCCATTTTTTACTCCCTACCCTAACGTCTACAATCTTCATCTGCAGAACATGTGTTGCGATTGCAGGTGTAGATTACTGTGTCATAGCTGCAGATACTCGAATGTCGACGGGTTATAACATATTAACTCGAGATTACTCCAAAATCTGCAAACTGTATTGCCTTTTCATTCTACTCCTTGTTGATTCGTTTTAAATGTTGTACGCATTGCTATTGATCCCGTTGCGATATATGTCTCCGTTGATTGTACTTACTCCACACGGCTACTTCTTCTGTTCTTTCTGTGCTTGTGAAATTATCGGAGTGAATTGCTACCACACTCTTGTATAAAACATACAAGGCATCCTTCGATGGGGGGGGGTGTGATTGGTGATTTGGTGCTTTAGTTTTTTTTTTAGTTCTTTTTTATTAATAAATTTGTAGGAAATATAGGGGTAATAATTGGAATAGTTGAAAGAATTTCTACTGGCCCGATTTGCATCTTTGATCTCATGGGACTTTTGGCTCCATGGTTTCACTTCTGAAACCTAAATGTGGAAGTGAGGAAAAAAATAAAATAAGAAAAGAGGATGAAATTTGATGGCCCAAATTCAACAATTAAAAAATCTATTTGATCAAAGCCATCTTCCTATTCCGACTAAAAGGAAAGATTTTGAGGATTGCTTTCATCTCACCAATGACCTCCTCCTAAATTAATACCATATAGGGGCAAAAACTCAAAAATCCTATGGTGATTATAGGTTAGATTTTTCATATCTTCCGATGGATTTTGGCATTTTGAGGCATGCCATCAGGAAAGATAGAATGATGAAGAACTCTAAAATGGATCTAGAGGTCAATAATTTCCCAAGTGGATACCGTTGCTAGGAGTTTAGAAAATATTAGGTGCACAGCTATTATTCAAGTTAGTTGTGTAATGTGTACAACTACAAATGTACATCTGGCTGATGTTTGTCAAGTGGCTTACTGGTTCTTTGGGCTGTTTCCCTTCACCATGTCATGGATGAAGCGGCTGCACTTCTTATTCTACCTACTATTTATTAATAAATCCTGTTGATCTTGTTATCAATCAAAAAAGGTAAAATTCCACTTAATAGGGATTTCTGTTTCAACTTTCATAACAGATTGTTTTGTGCACAACTGACCTGTTACAAAAATATAAGATTTGATATAATAATCTGAGTTGGGTATCAGAAAGAAGTTTACTTTAAGGATTTTCAAAAAAAAAATCAATGATGACCTTCTTTTGAAGACGGGGGAAAATTTTCAAGATTTTATTTAAACCCACTTGAAGATAAGTTCTGTTTTTGTGGAGTAAATATAAATGGTAATTCTTTTGTTATCATTTATCAATGGTTTATAAGTCCACTATCCTTCTGGTTTCCCTTTTATAGTGAATGACTGAGCTTTCTATCTCATTGCTCTTATCATGAGGGGTGCTTCATGTTGTAAAATCTGTAGTGGGAATATAAAACTTTAATGGTGGTGAATGTTGTTAACACCTTGAATTACGTTTGTAATAATGTTTTACTTGTATATGCTGATAAAAAAAGGTTTTACTTGTATAACCTGACTATGTTCTTTATGTTGATAATATTGCAGAGCAGACAAGTGTCTGATGGCTTCCTCTGGATTTCAGGCTGACGTGAAAGCTTTACAAAAAGTTTTATCTGCTAGGCACTTGGTAAGTGGTTGGAAGAATCAAAAGCTTACTGTCTTTACTCATCATTTCTCCCATTAAAGTCCTAAATATAAAGGGTAGTATATACTATATAAAAAGCATGTCCACATCATAATTTCTTTATCCATTAGCTAATGTGGTGCCACGTAGTTCTGTTTGTCTGTTTATAATTTGTGAGGTGAATGTGTTTTTTCTGCTTATCATTTATATGCAATGTGTGAACAAACAATCTAGGAAGTTTGGAAAATGGTAGAATAAACATAAAAGAAGAGGGAGTTTCCCCCTCTTGACCAGAGCTTTTGGAAATGTAGTCATGCACCTGTCACAACTTACAAGTATTGAAATGATGCCATCAATGTGTTGACTTTTTTCTAATTTCTTCATATAAGCTGAAACCCCATCTTGCATAGCATGTATAGGAGAAAATTCCAGTATGCACAGTCCTATTCTTTCTAAGGACTTGGACTTACAATCATAGTTTTCAAGGTGCCAAGGTGAGGCTAGGCGACAAGGGGGTGCCTAGTCGCCTAGGAGGCACCTAGGCGACACCTAGGTGATGGATTTTTTTTTTTAAAGTAAAACCATATATCCTAGGGTAGTTCCCTAGGTTCCATAACCATCTTTCCTTACTTATTCATAATTTTCATAAGAGAAGTATAAATTTCATGTTTAAGTCTAGAAAATCAACATTTTATGAGAAGAAAAAGAACAAAGGAAAGAAAATTCAAAAAATATNGTTTAAGTCTAGAAAATCAACATTTTATGAGAAGAAAAAGAACAAAGGAAAGAAAATTCAAAAAATATAGGGGCTGAACCCCTACTTTTGTTATAGGAAAGAAGAAAAGAAAAGGTGGAAGAAGAAGAAGAAGATGTGGAAGAAGAAAATGTGTTGATTAGACAAAATTTTAAGTTCTTCCCTTACTGGTTCAGGTTTTGAAATTTTTGAGGGTTCAATCAAGGATCAAAATTTCGATATGATACACCCCGTATCAGGTGTATTCTATTGTATCTTTGGGGTCCCGATACCTGTTTACAGGTGTTTTTGGGGACCCATTTTTTTAAATAATATATATATATATTTAAAAATGAAATTGAAAACCAAAGAAATAAAAAAAATAGGGGGAATATTGTTATAAGTACCGATACACCTCTGCCAATACACAGTGGTGTATCGATACTTTGAACCATGGGTTTACAGCAGTTAGCAATGTTTGCGTTGATTAAACCCTAACAAAATAAGAAAATAATAAAAAGAAATTAGTATATAAACACATAAAATGAATATTCTAGTTTAATAATGTCTATTTTATAATTATAATGTCAAAAAATTAAAAATATAAAAGTATTTTATAACCTAGTGCACAAAACTGCTTGGCGACTGGGCGAGTCGAGCCTCCAAGGGTGCCTTGTCGTCGCCTAGGCGGGCATTTGACCAAAAACATGGCTCTTGATAGAACTCAATGATGGGATGAAGTGTGTAAAATAGTTGGGATTGAATATTTAAGGCTGAATTAAATATGACCGTGATCTTTCTTCATATCATTCTTGTAAACATATTTCATGCATAACCAAAACAATTAATTTATTGGAATAGAATTGGCAAGTAAGCAGTGAGGCCAGAGTAATAGGCACATCAAGTTTTTCTCCCGTGTGGAAAACCACATAGAAAGCCCAATATGAGGGGAAAACCACGAACTTTCTATTTTAAAATAATGTAGTTAGAAGATGTTCTTTTTGCAACCTAAGGTAAATGAGTGTAAAGAGGAAAAGATTCCCTTTGGTATTAACAAGAAATTGCTATTTAATGTGTATTTGAATAAGAAACGAGTGAAAATCTCACCCAGACAAGAGGTGACTGCCTCTTCTTCCAAGCATTTTTATGAAGAAATCTATAGTTACATGAGATACATGATAATTGCATTAATGAAGCACAAAAATGCAATTACATTTAAATGAGTATTAAAAGCACTATGAAGAGGTTGACCCAGATACCAAATATGTATTGGTCAGCTTCTTTCTTAAATCAACAAAGAGTAAGTGGAATGTGGGTTTCACCACATACAATCTAAAATTCTAAATAAATGGAAAAAGTAGCATTGTTCTTATTCTCTTTCCCACCCGTGAAGAGGAAACTCTATAATTAGGGGCATTAATTGGTGTTATTAGTGGGTTTCTTGCTAATTCATGGGTATCTTAAGGGGTAATCTGAAGTGCCTATATTAGAAGATTTTATAGCTGTAGACATGGTTGAAAATGTTGATTTTAGGAAGTCTACAATCTACATTGCATGAGGTACCAGCTAATTTTCAGCATTAGTTGGTGATATTGGTATCTTTCTTACTAGTCCTAGGAAGGAGCATTTGGCAGTGGTTAAGTGGATTCTCAGGCATCTCAAGGAGTAGCCTGAGATGTGTTTATGCTTTGCAGCTAGAAGGCCTATGCTAGAAGTCTTTTAGGTGTAGATATGGTTGAAGGTGTTGATTTTGTTTAATCCATGTTGGGATTAGAGGAAGCAATCCCTTGAAAATAGAGATTACAAAAGTATGTATGTGGTTTATCCACTACTGAGGTTAAAAAAATGCTACAACTGGGGTGTGCTGTATGCAAGGAGACATTGTGGGTGAGAGATTCTTTTGAATATTTTATTTTAAACAAGGAGAAGTATGTTGTTCGTTGTGACAATTAAATTAGCAATTTGCTTAACTAGCAGCTCAGGTCTCTGTACAAAGGTTATGCATGTTATGTGTTGTGTGAATTATGATGTATGAGTGGATTTGGGATATAGTGTTGCAGCATGGATAGAACCATATCAATAATTATGATTAAAATATGATGATGAATGCACCACCTTACGATGATCAGGAATTTTATAGGAGCGTTGTACTTATAGAAGTCATGAGACTAATTTTTTAGGTGGGGGATTGTTGGGGTCTGTCCTTATTGGACCCACAAGGCCTTTTGACCAAGAAAAAGTAAACTCCTTATGTGCTGGAGGCCCTTGAAATCACAATATTGTTTTGGTATATTTCCTCTTGGTGAAGATAAGAAACTTCTTGAGAAGAATTGGGAAAACCTCCTGACGCATTGGGAAAGAAAGGAAAACAAAAACAACTTTTTATGGTGTTTGATATGTTTCTTTATCCAAGGTTCTGGACTCGTGGTTCTTGTGATATGTCCCTAGTTATGTGACCACTTATTCAGTGCACTGATCAATTTCTCAAATAGTGCTTTTGGAAGAAAATCATGCAACCTCTGTACACGAGTTATTTTTTTTCCATTTTTCTTGTTTAAATACCCTTTATATGGTGATTTATTTGTAATACCCAAGATAGTTGTTCGTGTTCCATTCTTAATGTTAACCTTATCTGACTAGAAGGGACCTTCTTGCAACTCCATTGTTATTAAGATAGTTAAACTTTTCTCTGGACTAGGTCCAATGGTTTTCCCTTCGCGTTGAAGGTATTTTCTTGTCAAAAGTTTGGTGTCTCATTTTCTCGTCTCCTTGACGTTCTATTATTCCATCTTAACTCAAGATACTGAAGACACAATGTATTTTATATATATATTTTTTGATCAGTAACAAGAAACTTTATTAATGATATGAAACTATGTGAAACTTTAAGTACAAAGGGGGGAGGTAAAATGTCTTAACTCCCCACCAACAGAATACATTGGAAGAAAGTCAAAAGTTAGCCCAAAATATAGATTCCCTATTCACCCCTTCCTTGGCTAACCCATCAGCAAATGAGTTAGCAGTCCTCTTCACCCAGCTGTAATGCAACACAATATCCCTACTCAGCCATTTGAATTTTTTTCTTCTCATTGTTATAACTCCACAAACCACTGTCTTCTTCCTTTAGCCACCTAAAGGAATATCCAAGCATATAAAAATATGGCTAAGTAAAAGCCTGGCCAGAATTCTGGCATCTTTTGAATTTTCTGTTGGCTTGTTACCACATTTGACACATTCCAGTGGGCAAAGGTAATAATATATGATTTTGTTAGCCTTTTCTCATGGGTGTGCTACAAATTGGATGAGTGGTTAACTTGATGTGTCCTTTTTTTTGATAAATAACTTGACGTGTCCTTAACAAATGAGAAAACTGATAGATAAGGTCATCAAGGATAAGTCAAGACATGTTACAAAACATTGGTCCTAACTAACTCCTTTAATTGTTCTTGGGATGCCTTAATCAGAAATTCAAGTAAAACAAGAGGAAAAATAGGGAAAAGAAACATTTAGAAATTAACAAGCAATGCGGTAAGTGATGGGGAGGGGGTTGAATCTTGGATTATTTTACTAGAATTTTGTAACTCTAGTTCTTGCAGAAATAAAGCACTAAAATCCTCTTACTGCATGGACTGTGTGTGTACACCTAATGAGTTATAGGACCCTGGGAATGGATGGGTGGAATTTATCTTGCGTTAGACTCTTAGAACATAGCATTGAACTTGATTTAGGATGATTTCTAATGATTTTTGTTTTGGTAGGGGGGGGGGTTGAAACTTGGACGACTTTGCTGGAATTGTGTATTGTTTATCTAGATAAGTTATTAAACTTAAGTATCTACAAAATGTAATTCTTGCAGAAACAAAGCACTAAAATCATCTTACTGGATGGACCATGTATGTACCTCAAATGATGGTTATAGGATAATAGGAATGTGTGGTAGGATTTGTGTTCCATTGGACTCTTGAACCTGTCAGGCTGTCATTGAACTTGATTTGGGATGATTTCTGATCAGGGAGGGGAAAACTTGTTTCTACCTCTTTATTTGTGGTACTTGACTCACATAGATGTGCATGGGGATTGATAATTCTGAATTTCTGGAAGGTTCGCCAGTATGGACTACAGAATTCCTCCTTCCCCAGCAGCAGAGTTAGAGCAGATTCATAAACACTTCTTCTATTCTTATCTTGTTGCATAATGCTTGATTAATATGCACTTTATTTTTATTTTTAACTTTTCTTTTGCTGGACAAGTAAAAGGAATCTATTATGAGCCATGGCTTGGTAAAATGGTAAAATATCAGGCTGACAAGTGTGAGAATGTAGGATCAAGTCAGAGAGCAGCCACTTCATACAAGAAAATACTGAATGTTAGGTCCGTATTCGTTTCACCCCTCCCAAGATCCTGGATGGCCAGGACCAAGATTGGGTAATGCCCTTTTATGTGGAATCAGAGAAAATAAATACAAGAATGTATGCTTGGTGCAATGATAAAATCTGGGGCTGACAAGTTTGAGAATGTGGGTTAAAATCTGAGTGCAGCCACTTAATGCAAGCAAATAAAGGTTAGGTCCGTATCTGGTCCACCCTCCCAAGACCCTGGATAATCGAGACCAACATCGTGTAATGGTCCTTTTATGTGGAAGAAGAGAATAAATACAAGAATATATGATTTTATATATCTATTTTAGCAAAGGAATTAGAACTGAAATTAGGGTTTAATGTCAAAGAATTTAGAGTTCAATTTGAAGATACAAAAGAGTATGCCTATTGTCTTCTATTCTTGAAGAAATTTGAAACTGCATTTTAAAGCCCAAAATTTAACATCTTGGATTTCAAAAATGTGGCATCCAGTTATATGGGGATTATTGCTCTAAGAGGCAAGGAATTTGAGAAACTGTATGGAAACTGATATATGGTTCCTTTTTTCTTGTGGTTCAGATCTATCAGCATCAACACAACAAGCAGATGAGCTGCCCTGCAATGGCTCAGCTCCTTTCCAACACTTTATACTACAAACGTTTCTTCCCTTATTATGCTTTCAATGTCTTAGGTGGCCTTGACAATGAAGGTATTTCTATATTTCATAGAACCTATTATATGCCTTTATTTACAATGCAAGGTTATCACATAAATTACTCCTTTAGGAAAGGGTTGTGTGTTCACGTATGATGCTGTTGGATCCTATGAGAGGGTTGGATACAGTACTCAAGGTTCTGGTTCTACGCTGATCATGCCTGTCTTGGACAACAAGCTGAAGTCTCCTAGCCCTCTCTTATTACCTGCCAAGGTGAGATTTTGACCTGAATATCTTGGTGGTTGTCAAGTCATCTCGACCATCAACTTAATGCAAGCTTTTGCAGGATGCTGTGACCCCACTCTCGGAATCAGAAGCAGTTGACTTGGTGAAGGATGTTTTTGCATCTGCAGTTGAAAGGGACATATACTCTGTAAGTTTTTTCTTTCCATTTTATACTTCTTTCTCTTGTCTGAAAATCTAGATACTAATTGGCGTGGGACAAAAATTACAGTGTATTAAGCAAAAATGTTATGAAATCTAGTTCTTATGGATATTGACACCATACACAACCTTGTATTATTAAAAGGATGGGGAGAGGAATACAAGATTTCTTTTCATCTTCAAACAAAGTTGCCAGTTGGAAGATTTCTAGGTTGTTTATGAAGGCACAGTTTGGAAGGAGTACAAATACAAATTTGTAGAATACAAAACTGTGTATTTTGTATGTATTTGCATTGTACATATTTGTATTTGTATTCCTTCCAAACTTGAGCAGGAAGCTTACCAAGCAACCCAACTTTGACATTTACTATTATCTCTGTCAAGCCTGCTCAGAGTTCCATTTGCAATTTCTTTCATATTTCAAGTTTGGACCAGTCTGAAATAAAACAGAACAGGTGATGATCGAAGAATCATTTCTTTTAAATGATATTACATGGCATATAGTTACCGTTTCTTTTAAATGATATTGCATCTCAAAATTTATTATTTTTGGTTGATTTTTGGAGCATCTTCTGAAAAGGAGATTGTTACTTGCATAGGTAGCTTAGTGCCTCTTTTTATGGTTGTTACTTGCATTCCTAAAGTATCTAAGAAATTTCACTCTTAAGACTCTTACTGTGGTAATGGAAAAATAACTATCAGACGGAAGTTTCAAGATATACTGGTTAAATGGGTGAGTTGGTGACCCATTCCACCCTTGCTAGGTCCGGTGTGATTGCAATTGGGTTTCTGTTGGTGTTGAAACTTAACTATTAGTTGTGTTAAAATGTCCTTGAGGAACTGGTCCATATAAAAATTTGCGGCATTGTTGTTTTTTTTCTTTATCAAGGCATTTTATCTTATGTTTGTCACATCGCTCAGCCTGTCGTACCTTGTTCATGGTTTGGGTAGGTTGTCCTTTAAGTTGATTTATACTTCAATGAACTCGAGCTATTGCTGGCCCGATTTCTGATGAATATCATCAGTTAGTGATTATCATCGGAAACTCCAATCTACAAAACCTTCTTAGCATATAGTTATTCTCTCCTCTTTTTTAGCTCTCACCTTTGAGATTCTGACTTTAATTATTTTAGAGGCCAGATTAGGGGAAATTAAGAAGATAAAGAACAAGCCATCAATGATACTCGATTTGGGCCATCGTCTTTGTTAATCCGTTGTCAATGTTTTGCAGGGAGACAAATTGGAAATAGTCGTTGTAAAAGCAGACGGTATTCGACGAGAATACCTGGAAATGAGGAAAGACTGATGTCTTCTACCACTGCTTCTGCGTCAATGGTTGTTATGGTATTTCGGCCTCGGATGTTTATCTTTTGCTTGGAAAGCACATACAATTACTTGCAACAGGGAAATGTCTTGGATGCAGATGCATGTAATTGAAACCGGGGAATGCCTGATGTTTTCTATTTTTCATTATTATCCTCGTATACATTCAGATGTTGGTTTATTTCAAACAAGTGAGCAGGCTGTCTTAGGAGACTTTTCGCAACCCTTTCAACTTTATTGAGATAGAAACCTTGAAAATTTCTAGTTATTTTGATCTTACAAATGGAGACAGATAACTTTAATCAACCATCCATTCTTGAGAGTCAAGAGCCAAGATCCATAACGGTTTAGTAAGTGAGCTCAGAAGCTCCCCTCTGAAGCCCATCCCTTCTTCTCTAACTCCAATCTCAAGGCCTGTTACATATTTAAGAACTCATTAATAAAGCATGCAACATGGATAGCTAACCACAAATGCCCAACCCCCACGGAGTCAAACGTGGGCATATGAGCTGGTTGCTCAGAAGGCAACATAAGCTAACATTAAGAATTGTGTAATCTTGTAAGGGGGCATTCTATAACATGATTGGTTTTGTTTTCAATTTTTATTTTTTTGGAATTGCCACATTACAGAAGAACATTGAACTCTGTTTTTGTTTCCAAAAGGAAAAATGAGTTGGTTTTATTTCAAAAAACAGTACATGATTTTTAAACCAACAAAATATTAACTTTTAAAATAAAAATAAAAATTTTAATATAGAAATCATAAGAACATGTTTTTTGTGTTTTTGTATTGAGAAACAATTTATTTTCAAGTCAAATGATTTTGATTTATTTTTGGAACCGGTAACAAGAAAATAATTCACATTGTAGCAAGGTTCAAAATATTGATATGCCTGATATGCAGGTAGTGGTGTATTGGGCAGTATCGATAGTTTTTTTTTATTTCTTTAATTTTTTTAATTTTTTTTAATCTAATTCAAAAGGGCTGGTTTAAGGCCCATCCATTCTCTGAACCGGATCTGGTAAGGGTATCAGGAAGCCCCCGACTCGATACATATCAATACTTCCATTTTTCTGGGATTGGTAAACAAAAAAAGAAACTAAGATCATTTTTGTGGGATTGATAAACAAGAAAGAAACTAAGAATTGCTTTTTCCTCTATGTGCTATCAAAACTCAAAATGGGGCTTGATACCTTAATTCTCTTTCTGTTAATATCAAAATCGAAGTTTCCCAAGCGAGATGCAGACCGATATTCAACGATTGATTTCTTCCCAGGTGGAAACCAAAACTCGACGTCGTCGACAAACTGTATTAACAGAGAAAAAAATGAAAACCTTTTGATTTTATGATTTAAACCTCAACTCATATAAATAAAAGGAAGAATGACAATATCCGCTTGCCGATCACATACCCCCATGATGGGACTCTCGTATTCTACGCGAATGTAGTCGTCTTTCCTTTCCATTATACGTGGCGTAAATTTGTCTGGTTTTGTTGATTTTATCTGCAAAAGTAATGCTTAAATTTAGCTCAGTCCAATCCAATATTTCAGACCACTCCCTAGAAAGTAGAAACTTTTTAAGTTTATAGTTATACCACTTGGATAAGCTCGGCCATTGCCTCTTCTCTACTGATCGGCTTTTTCCGTCCTTCAGAGTTATAGTTCCTGAAAGTCTCGTATTAGAATAATCAGATAAGAGATGACCAACAGATGATTTAAATGTCATAGGTTTTTCTGACTGTAATTAATACAGAGTTGAAACTGGATCGGAGCAAGCTTACCAAGGTGGGGCGTAGTGGGTGAGATCACTGACCCCTTCCGAAGTTGAAATGCAATTGTTAGTTGCCGGACACAGAGCTAGAGCTGGAGGATTCTTCTGCACTCCAAGGTAATTGGGTTTTGTTCCGCTGTCACATTTAGATACATCCCAAACTAGAAATTTTAGAGATAGAGGGAGAGAAATAAGAATAGCGGGATGGACAAGGAGTTCGAATGAAGGACCTGAAGTGGAAGATGGCCGCAATGACAGCGAATTCGGTGCTTCTCAATACGATCTCCCTTAATTTTTCTCAGAATTTCATAAACTTATCAGAACCCTAACTTCTCCAGAACACACAATGCATACAAAACAAAAGAAAGAGCTTTCCAAACGAAGAGATTTACGGTACCTTCGTCCCATTTGGTCGGTCGATTTGCTCTGCTGTTGCTGTGAAGCTATAATAATGCGGGGAGCAGGGGGATACCCATTATACCTTTTCTTATGAGTATGCAAGTATTTGCTCGGTCTCGTTACAGAAGAAGCCATGGAGACCATGTTCGAAGCTCTGAACAGAAGGTCGTGAAAACGATATGAACCTCGCTTTCCCCTCTTCTTCCTGCGCTTAAACTTTTAAAATAGTTGTCTAAACTGAGGTCCATTGTCCCCATTGAACAATGTCCATACCATTACTAACACTACCACCACATAAATTGCATAATACGCCATCTTTTCCAATCTCTCGATGCGCCATTGCGTCACTCGCAGGTGAGCCATCCGTCGTTTGACGTGGCTAATTCATGGTGACGTGGCAAATCAAAACTACAATTAATTAGGATACCGGTGAGACCGGATGTGCTCCTCACGTAGGAGATTGGCTTCAGTCAGAGCAAAATCCGTATTTCTATGGGGAGATATTTTCAATATAAGGCTAAGATGGATATTCGAATGGAATTTGCTCTGATTGAATCCTGTTTCCTCACGTAGGGTGCCTCACACGTACATCTTACCATGTATTGAGAATCTCTCCCGTGCTTATAAGTTATTTTTCACGGGAGTTGTTCCCAATCCACATTTAATGTACATGTGAGGCGCCCAAGTGTGAGGAGCAGATCCCGTTCCGACACCTGTAAGGCTTGGCCCAATAACTTAGGTAAGTATTTACATAAACAAGTGTTTTCCAAGCAAAAGTTGGGGTATGTTCGATTTCAACATTCTTCTGTAGGGGTGTAATTAGGGTGGGCCAAACCCGAGCCTGAATTGACAGTCCAAAATTTTAAACGGACTGGGTTTAGATTTTTTTGTCCTTGGATTGGGCTCGGGTCCAAGAAATTGTTTTTTTTTTTTAATCTTTTGAGCTGGGCCTGGGCCTAACTCTTAAATAACCCGAAGGTCCAAATTCAAAGCATTATAAAATGCAAATTTGGGCCAATCCGATTGCAGCCCTATTATCGGAAGGTATTAGTTAGCTGGATAACTGATATTCTCTGGAAAAAAATCTGCTTACCTTGAAACCAGTATAACAGCATAAGAATGGTCAGTTATCTGGTTGACCAATTTATCCCCTAAGGCTGCATTTGGAAGTGATAAAATTTAAATTGATTCGATTTTATAAGCGTTGGAAGGAGCCATTTCCCGGGTCAACCGGTCCCACCGTCCAACTTCAAAACCATGGCCTAAAACTATCAAACGTAATCATGATTGACCGTTCCAACTTCAAAACTTTTAAGGTAAAAAATGGGCAAATGGCCTCCTGGGCAAGTCGGACTCGGACCACGAGTCACTGACCCGCGGAGGACGATTTGTCATTTGTGTGCGAAAGATGTCATTCCATTTGAAAGGTAGGGGTATTTCTGTAATGTCAACTAAGCGGCGGGAACAACGAGCAAACATTTCCAGGAAATATTGCATATTTAAACGCACTCTACCTCCAGAGCTTTCCTGAGAAGTAAGAACTAAGAAGCCAAACAGTTTCTTGCCTCCTCTCGAAGTGTCTCTGTATCACTCCTCAATGGCCAGAAATAAGGCAAGAATTTCTTTTCAGTAATTCTTTTTGAATGATCGATTCCTACGTCCATGCATTTGATTTTGCCCCAGTTTACGCAGTCGCTCTTATGTCCTGGTCATTCAGTAGTTTTTCTTTTTTTTTTTTTGTGTTATTTGTTGTTTCTCTCTGTAGGAATCTAGTTCTATTAAGTGGAAAAGAGCAAAAAGTTCTGTTTAATTTTTAATTTTCTTGTTTTTTTCTTTTTTTTACTTTGCCGAATTGGTCCATTTCTCGAACTTTTCTTTGGACTTCTACATGGATTGTTAGTTCATATGAACCTTGTGTACACTCTGATGATCAAAATGGTGAAAGCTAATGCAAATATGTCAGGGAAAGGTAATATCTTCCTTGTGGAGGCATCTCGGTGTTAGGGTTGATGTTTCACGAACTCATTTCCTCTCTTTCAACAGGAAGCATTGCTTTTGCTTATTGATGTTAGTCCATCAATGCACAATCTTCTTACAGAAGTCGAAAGAGTCTGTTCCATGCTCATAGAAAAGAAGGTACCTCTTCCAAGTTTAATTTCCTCTTTCCCTCCCTTAATTTTTGTTAGTTTTCTAGCTTTCGTTATTTTAATACTCTGAGTGTTTACACTTATCTTTATAACTGAATTTGAGTTTAATATATTCTCTTCACTATTTCCTGCGGTTTCTCATTGAGTGAGGATAAGATTTTTTTTGACGGAGTGAGAATAAGATTTTCCCTCATTTTTATTTTTCTAAGAGCTAGTATTAATGATTGAATCTTTATTAATTAAATAATTGAAGGTACATTGTTGTTATTTAGAATTTATGAATTATCATTTCACTGTACTGTGCAGCTAATTTACAGCAAAAGCGATGAAGTTGGAGTTATTCTATTTGGAACTGATGGTACCTTTTGATCTCTTCAGAAAGCTTGTGTTTACTTTGGTTTGATAAATAAGACAGCTTTGGTGTCCTTGTCTTTTTGCATTTGTAAAGTTGCAATGGAGTCAGACAGTAGCTTTATTAATTCACCATGTAAACTTTTTTAAATGATTATAAGTTTCTTTGTTTTCTTTTAAAATCTTTGTTCTCATACATTGCTAAACTGGAATTTGATTAATGTCTCCATGCAATAAAAGATTCTAAAATACCGTTTGATGAGGTTTCTCTGCTCAGAAAACCATTAGGATGACTTTGGCCTAGGTATCACTTAGGTGCCAAGCATGGGTTTGTACTGCATTATTACAATGTGCTGTAGAGATCTAAATGAGCATGGCAAGTTCTAAGCTGCTTATGATAGTTTATTACAACTTTAAATCCTAAAAGAGGAGTGAAGGGACGATCAAACTAGAAAACATTTATTATAGGATTTTGTTCTTCCTATTTTATTTATACTGGCAAACAGTAATATTTTCATTAAGAAAACTAATTTGTCAGCCTTAGTTCACTGTAACTTTTTTTTTTTAAAATTTATTTCGTCCATATTGCAGTGGAAATTATTGTTTTCTTCTGTTTTCTTTTCTTTGTATATAAGTTTTTTGGAAAAAGGTAAAGTATGATTGTATTAATATAATAATAAGGTGTAGCCTATAAAAATATAATAATTAGGTGTATCCTATAAAAAATATAATAATAAGGTGTATATAAAGCCCCTATGTATAATGAGATCCTGTACATTAGACTTCACAACAAGATAGGATCATTGATTTTTTTTCTTACTTTATATCATTGCTCTTTCTTCAGCAACATTGATGTTCTACTATATCAATTGATTCATTAAATTACTAGTTATCTGATTCTTTTTCTTCTTGGAATCCTCAGAGACAAACAATGATCTGACAAAGGAAGTGGGTGGATATGAACATATTGTGGTTTTACAACAGATCAAAGTTGTTGATGAAGATACAATTGAAACTTTACAAAAGCTTCCCAGAGGAACTTCTCCTGGTGATTGTATCCACAGAATTGTAGGGTTGAATTACTATTCATTGTTTCTTTATACAAGAGACAATATACACTTACACATGCTACAAAACATTGCTACCCGCTACCCCCACTTGCACCTGAGCATGGCAATTGGTTGTTTCTACTACTTCTAGGAATCACAGGAGTACTTTGATGAATGATATCCAAAGTGAACCAATCTAGCGGAAGGGGATATTGAGTCCCAGTAATACATTGGGAGTCTCACCTTAATGACCATTTATATTTGTAGAGAACCTGAAATGTTCTTTCATTGGTTTGGAAGCGACTAGAGAGAGAGAGAGAGGGAGAACATGACTAATAAGGAAAATATAACTTTCAAATTGGGCATGTTCCAGTAGCACTGGAAATAAGTTTTTCATAGGGGGCTTATAACATGTTCATTTTGGATTAGAACTGTGAATTTTTATTAGTTTGATAAGAAGAATGTTAATAACATGATATGCCAATACTATCTCGTGATTTGGCCTAGTATCACTAGCCACCCTTCATGATATTTATAAATACCATATGGGCCCAAACCATAGAGTAGTTGTTCTCTGTTAGCTACCTGTTTTGCTAGCCCATCCATAAGAAAGTTGGCAGTCCTTGGTGTCCATTTTCAACAGATTATGAGCTCCTCCTTCAGTTACTTCATCTCCCTCAAGATACCTCTATAGACCCATAAAGCTGTATCAGATTTTTTCAGCCATCCCACTTTTGTTTGAGTCCCTTCTACTTCCAACTCCAAGTTGTGCCATTAGATGGAACTAGCAAGTCTTAACCTGTGCAATTCAGCCTTTAGTTCAGCTCTAATTGAGCTTCCTTAACCAATTGGTATTGAGTTTAGAGCCATAATGTTACCTCCTTCATTTTTGAAAACTCCACTATCCTTGATAAACCAATAACAACTAGGAATGGCAATGGAGTGGAGTCAAGGTGTGACCATATTCCATGTCCCCAACCTGACTTTTAAATTAATCCCCATCCTATAGCCTGATCTCTGTCGGGAAAAAATTTAGCCTCCACCCCTCTAGTCCCTAATGGAGATGAGTTCCCCATTGGGGACTTGGATCCCTGAAATTTTTAATTAAAAGTTTGTTTTGGGAAAAAAAGATTTATTTAAAATAAAGGAAAAAAAGTAAGATATAGTAGAAAACTTAGAACTATAACTTGATTTGATAATAGAGAGAAAATAGTTTCTTGGAGAGAAGAGAAGAAGAGAACGGAAAAGCCAATAATGATCTGGCCACCCCACTCATTATCTTATATACTCGCAAAATAAGATTACAATGACTAATATGTCCTTAATAGAGTGGTTGTTGGCTTGTTGCTAAAAACATAAAAACAATATAAACTAATGGGTCTCGGGCCCAATAAAACCAACTAATGATGCTAAATAAAGAGAAACAAAAAATTGTTGAATATCTCAACACTCCCCCTCAAGTTAGGAGTAGATGTCACACATTCCCAACTTGCGTAGATCATGTTCAACCTTATTTCTTGCAACTCCGTTGGTGAGTACATCAACAAGTTGTAAGTTAGATGAAATATATGGTAGGCACACTTCTCTAGATGTCACCCTTTCTCTTATGAAATGTCTGTCCACTTCTATATGCTTTGTTCTATCATGTTGAGTTGGATCGTGGGCAATGTTAATTTCTGCTTGATTATCATAATACAATAATAGGTTCCATTTCATCAACTCCAAGCTCTCATAGTAAGGACTGAACCTAGGAAAACTTTGAAACAACATGTGCCATAGCTCTATATTTAGCTTTTGCACTTGATCTAGCTACAATTGGTTGCATTTTACTCTTCCATGAAATTAGATTACCCCAACAAGAGTGCAAATTCCTGATGTAGATCTCTTGTCATCCAAGCACCCTACTCAATCAGCACCTGTGTAAGCTTCCAACTTCAAATGTCCATGGTCAGCAAACAATATCCCTCTGCTTGGGTGTCTTTCAAATAGGCAAGTATCATGTCAATGGCTTCCCAATGTGAACTCATGGGGCATGCCTGTACTGACTCACTACACTAACTGCATTGGAGATATCTGTGATCGTTAGATTAGAAATCAGACTTAACATGAATGAACCAAATCTGGTGGTTGGCTAAATTATAAAAAAATTTCTAACCCAACCCAGGAACCAATTTCCCGGTAATTTGAAATCTGAATTTTCGGATCGATCTTGCACTGAAATGGACCAGATTTGAAATCCAAATTAAATGCTGATCTTACATAAAATGGGGTCCACAAAAGCAGCTCCTAGAGTGGTAGTTCATGCCTAGTATTAGACCTAGATTGCCTCTTGCTAAAGATGGCACATCAGTGTGTAAAGTTGATTCAGCAATAACAGACAACAAAAGCAATCCTTCCTCCCAATAGTCTAGGAGAGTTGTTTAACTCTCATGTTTTTAGTTGCTTTAAAAGAAGAGGTAGGATAATGGGGAGATGCACCAAAGCAACAGTAGTTTGGAGAATTTGGGAAGAAAGGATCTTAAGAATATTTGAAGACAAAAAAAGAAGTAAGCTGTGATAGAGGTTATAACCTTAAGGGTGGCACATTGGGTGAAAACTTTAAAGCTCTTTGTTGACTTTAAGGTTGAAGATTTCTTCAGCTTGTGGGGATTAATAAAATCTTCCTCTAGAGGACAAAAAATACATGAGGCCTGGTCATCTCCATGTGCTGGATGGAGGAAATTGAACTTTGATGGTAGTTGCATGGGCAATCCTGGACCATCAGGTATTTGTGTGGTAATTAGGGAAGAAAATGGAAACATTCTAGCCATGTATTCAGGTCTTGTTCAGCATGGAGATGTTGTGAGATTAGAACTGATGGCAACAGTGTATGGAGTAGAGAAAGCTAAAGAAATGGGGGTTGATAGGTTGATTATTGAAGGTGATTCAAAAATAGTTGTGGGTTGATTGAAAAAAGAGGGAAGGAGTAAAATGGAAGCTAAGGAATGAGTTCAGGTGTTTCAAATAGATATTTAAAGACATGATGATCCAAATAAAGTGGATTAGGAGATCTGCAAACAGTATGGCTGATGGCTTAGCTAAATAAGGAATTCAGAGACAATCCATGTTGGGCTGTTTTGTAACTATTGGGATAGTTCTCATTGGGCTTGTTGTCTTTGCCCACAACAACTTGTTGTATATCTTCATTTTAAAATTAATGAATCAATTTGTGTTATTGATAAAAAAACACAGTTTCAGCAAAACCAAACTCCAACCTCCTTGGATTGATCAAGCTGTGCGAACCTTGATGTGACTGATGTTTTTCTCCAAAAACTCAGCTAAGAATTGAAGAGCATCAGCCCCTACACTGGCTGGTTTGAACTAGGGTTTTAGGGTGCAAGGGAAGAGAGAAAGAGTGCAAGAGAGTGGGGAGAATTGGATGGTTCTCCCTCTCTCTCTCATCCCTTATATAGAGCACTCTCCTAATCCTATTAGGACCTGATCCAAATCTAATTTGGATCAAGACTCATCCATGTTTAGATAAGCCTTATCTTCTTTAAAAAAAATGGGTGCTCCATACCATATTCGGCCCACGTCACATGACAACTTTAATCACTTAATTAATCTTATTAATAATGGGCCTAAGGCCCAAGGCATTGCATGGCCACTTTAGGCCTGGATATCGTGTGGCATGGGATCCACAAAGGTCTCACATAAGTCCACAAAGGTTCAACCCCACCCCTAGAAAGGGGCAGCCCAAATTCATTGCCTAAGGGCAATCAACCCTTGACCCAATCAGCTCGGGCTCAGTTTGGGCCCAACATTTGAACATAAATGATCAATTGATTCAGTCACCCTTTGAAGACCCAAGGATAAGGGACTTATGAAAGATCAAGCCCATTAGGTAATCATCCCTATAATGGTCTCTTGTCCTTAACCTCTCAGCCCATAATCATCAATACACTCTTTATAGGGATAGACCTCTTCCCTAACTACAAATTGTAATGTCACACTCTCTGCTTAGATGGATCTTGGGATTAAAATCTTTTGCAAGCAATTTTCATAAAATAATAATATAACATATAATTATTTAAATACATTTTGCAAACCAGATTTCAAGTATAGTTGAAATCCATTGCTGACAGTTTATGTTTCCATTAGAGAGTCTGCAAACCTTGATATTCACTTTGTTTGATAAAGGGGCAAATCCTATCATTATGATCACCCACTTAGGTAATTTTCCAAATTGCTCCACATGCCTAGTTATTTGACCCTTAATGGATCTCACTAGTTGGTATATCAAAACTAGTTCAGTCTAAGACCTAGTGCAATATTATAATCAAGTCTAGGGGTTAAGTGCAACTTTCGAATTTTGCCATTTGTCTCCATGGTCCAGGGCATAATTGAAAATTGGTCCAAGTTTAGTGTTTCTTCCAAACACTCACCTGCTATGCTTGGGGTCTAACCCTAGTAGTTGAGACAAGTTGCTCTACCAATTTGGCAATGCATCAGTGTTAGCCTTGTCAAGATAAGCTTTCCAAGGCTATCCAATGGCTAAGAACATTCTGAACTAATATGAATCTCATAAGTGTCTAATTTAAGGAGTAATTCATGGAAACACCAATTCGAACATAAAACCATAATGTACTTGTGTTATTCATTCATAAATGTTTATGTACATCAATATGATTGGAGCTAAGGGCATACACTGTCTAACAATCTGGTTGTGCCATGCACAAGTATAACAGTTGGCCCACAAATCTTTGATACCTCCCAACATCCTTTATTACTAGCTCACCATCTGAAGCATTAGTTCTATGATTTTGGTCAATGGGTGTATTTATTGGTTTAACATTAAGTTTTCCCGTGTCCTGTAGTTTGTCCAACACATACTTCCTCTGGGAAATGAAGTTCCCAAATTTGAACCTTGCCACTTCAATGCCCAGAAAATACTTTAGCTCCCCAAGGTTCTTAATCTCAAACTCTTGGTGTAGGTTCCTCTTTAAGGCATCCAATCTCACTCAGG